GAGATGGCTTATAAAACAGTCTCTTCCCTCCTCCACTCCAAGGCTTCCTCTGCAGCTTTCGCAGCTCCGCCCTGGCCGTGTCGACTCTCCATCGAGGCCGCCAATTTCTGCTCCAGCCGCCACACCTGCTCCCGATACTTCCTCCGTATCTGACGGTATGAACTCAAGGCTTTGCTGCGACGAAAAGATCCACATGACTTTTTAACTTTGACTCAAGCTGAGCACAAAGGGCCCGATGAACAAACACCAAAGAAGTATATTCAGCAGCTTTCTTTTTCCATTCACCTGTGAGCCTGTGTGAGGCGAGCTATCTGCTCCGCATTGTCCCTCCTGTGGGAGGAACTGTCTGAGACGGCTGCGTTCAGTGACTCATGGACCAAAGCCAGACGCTTCTTCAAGGCTTGCTCCCTGGGAAAAGAAATAGTGAGGTCAGTGGGTAAACATGCTGTGAGGTTATTCGTTTTGCTGCAAGCACAAAAGATGTTTACTCACAGACTCATATTTAATATGCGTCCTTGGCCTTAGAGCCGCTGTGACGCATTGTGTTAACAGGAGTGCTTTATTTAAAAGCATTGAGCACTCTAGGTCAGAAGAGAAAAGGTGCTCTCTGAAGCTCATCGTGGAGAGAAACAGCTCGAAATTCTTTATGTGCAAAGTCTGCAGCGTTCCTAAGCAACAGTTCAAAGCGGCCAAGAGATGTCTGACACATTTTCAAACCTGATTATATTCAAGTACGTCCACATATTCAACATCCAGATAATTACTATCAGAATTATTATCAGATTTTATTGTTAAGACACGAAACTAGAAGTTGTCAAGAACTAAAGTGCTTCTACATAGAGGCCATAAAACACCGATAGGTATGGAAAAGACCGAATCCAACCCTCACCTCTGCAGGACCGCCTGCAGCTCTTTCAGGATGGGTCTCGTCCTATAACCAGCGATGTCCCCTTCACAACCGAGCTTCGCTGCGTTCTCACAGAGCCTCTGAAACACAACGTTCAGTTAAGATAACGCCCAAAGTCCCAAACGTGTCTTCCCTTCACTTCTCTTCTAGCGTATGTGCACTTTGATCTAAAGCTGTGGCTGCAGGCGTCAGACTGTCATCATGCAATGTCTCGTGTTTTTAGCTCTGAAGTGCTTTTACACTTTAAGGCTGATGGGACCGAAGTTTGTGAGTATGATAACTTGAAAATGAGGTGGATTTGATATCCCAATATTGACCTCAAGGTTAAGGTCAGAGGTCAAGTTGTTTCAAAATCTTGTGAATGCAATTAATTGAGATTTTCTAATTCATAGCATACGAGCTACTACGAGGCGGAGGCTGGTGGTCGCCGGTATTTCTTACAGTTCAGTGTTCAACAGACCGAATAAAGTGATCCGCGAGGCCAGGAGTGTTGTGGGGATGGAGCTGGACTCTCAAAGGGGTGTCAGAGAGGTGCTGGACGCTACCTCCCACCCACTACATGACGTGTTGGCCAGTGACAGGAGCACGCTCAGTGAGAGACAGAGGAACCATCCCTGCCTGTGGTCAGCAGTGTTGGTCAAGTTACTT